AAATGAAAATAGCGAATGCGTACGTAGGTTGGCTGGCTGGCTGGCCAATCTACATTGCGGCCCAGCATATGTGACATATAACGGCCGACAAAGTAATTAGGTTCGACCACCAGATATCCCGTTATATCAGTGCAGTTGCAACTGTACTTAGCAGAAAGGGGGGAAAGCAAGAGCATTCGCGGGATACCAAGTTCATGGTAAAGAAGGCATTAACAGAAGACAGACCAAGGATTAAACGTCAGAAGTTCCTCTCCAGGTTAGTACAATTACATGTGGAGAAAGAACACTGGTGGAGGCTGATATACCAGGGTCTGGATGGAAGAAGGGTAGGGGAGGCCAAGCGATGACTTGGTTTAGAGGAAGGAAGTCTTTCACTTCGAAGTTGGCGTCGGTTGGTGTATCCAGACTGCCTGGCTAGGGTCCTAAGGACGATGAACACGTTTGATTGGATACACTAGTTGACATGGCAAGGAGCCGACCTCGATGGCGTTTGTGTTGTGAGTCGCTTTGTCTATCCCCTCGCTTTTAAGTTCCCCCTCCAACAACAATCTCAACCTAATGCATAGTGTTATTTTGGCATGGTTAATTTTTAGCTTTTATGGTCTGTAATGTTTAATCTCTTATCTTTTCTGTATTGCGGTACATTAGCTGAGGTGTTTCTCACCCTCGGTTGACGTGTATTGATGATGGAAATATTGTGCCATCGGAATCATGGCGGAATAAGAAAAAAAACTTGCACAATTGTTTGTCTACGTTATACGCACAGTTTTGAGTTTCTTATTGTTTATTTTATTAGGGAAGGGAAATCAACGCAACGCGCAGATACATGTCGGTCATTGACGTCGGTCTCGAGTCATGACTTCCAGGGTCTCCAACCAGTGACACTCTGTATTTAAGAAAACCAAACCAGGGAGTCGACATCAACCGACCGAGGCCAAGTGTTTCGTCCGCTTTTTCATGCCGCTTCTCCAAGTCGTAGGTTGTCCACCGCACCGCGTACTCCAGCGCTGTTCAGCAACTGCGAACAACGCCCGACGCGGAAGACAATGAGCGGGCATGCGCAATACGTGTTTAAGTCACCGCAGCTGACGCAGAGGAATGAGCGCCTTGAGCGAGTGGCCACCTCCACCCAAAACACATAGTCTAAATTTCACATTGGTTACGTGGTGCAGCCACCACACACGGGCAATGGACCGCAAGCAATGGTGCTCGAAGACGGACAGCCGGCGTAGGTCAAGGATACGAACAGGGCAAGTCAAGTCTCGCAATCGTACAACAGTACAGCGCAGACAGTTGTACAATAAACCCGTCATTCGACGGTCAGACGTCACAAGTATCTTAGCCTAAAGAAAGCGAGACAAGCTCTTGAAATTCGCATCGAAATCTCGTCGGTCATACCTTTGTTGCAGTCTACTCTTACATTCCAATTTTAGGCGCCCCTCATGCTCCAGTCTCAGGTGAGTGCCACAAGCAACATTTGATACTCTAGAGTAGAGTCGAGCAAAGCAACCAGCACAAGGGGGTTATAAAAATTTATACACAAGTAATATAAATAGTAATTATGTTAAATCCATTTTCTTAAAATTCATATTCATATTTTCAAGAGGCTTACTAATCCGGAAAGAAGACATCCTCTGTAATATCAGATAACAGAACGAATAAAACAATCAATTATGCTGTGTAAAAAGTTAAAATCTATTTGCAAAATTGCATCACCACTCGTGTTCGTTGCACTAGAAAACCTACTGATCGCAGCAACAAGCGTACCCCGACGAAAACCAGAAAACATTTACTTAAATAACATGAAGACCGGTAAAGTAAGTGCAGTTTATAGCCACTGCCCGTTAGGTCATGACTGTAGCGTGTATATAGTAAACAGAATCTCCACCGTAACCTAACAGTGGTGGAGAATGTCACTGAGAACGAAAGGCAACACGTAAGCCTCACCTAGTTTGCGGAAGACAAGCCATAATACTATTTAGAGAAGCGAATAGTCGTCACTGAGAAAAGACCACAACCAGACTGGACGCTAAATTGGCCATGCTAGGTTGTGCTTTTGGGTATGACTAATCACCGGACGCCTTTCCGATAACAAATAACGTTCACAATGGCTGTTCAATAACTCCATTTGTGTGCCCCTCTTTAATGGAGTCATCTCATGATGCAGGGAGCGAATGTAGGATCGGGCGAAAATTGGTTCATCAGGATAATGCGGGTAACATCATCCGGCTGTTTGAGAATTGCAAAACAGCAAAATTAACTTTCGATAAATTTGCTGGAATGGCCTTGGTATGCAGATAACGCCATCAAAGTCCAATGTAACGAGGTAGGACAACAGTTATCCGCTCGCGGCCACTTGGCTCTCAACAAGGTGAAACTGGATATCTCTAAGCGATTCGGCCATATTTTGGTAGCGACTAGAATACACTTTACAGTCTTTTGTATCAAAGTCAGATGTCCCAGTACCTTGGAAGTCACATGCAGAGGAAGTGAGACTCGACTGTCTTCTTTGACCGTTGTTATCTGCGGAGTTTTGCCCGCACTCGGTAGCATCTGTGTGTGTGTGTGTGTCCGTAACGATAAAATGAGCAGGTGGGTTATGCGAGCGGTGATCACCACGTGAATGGGTTAGAGCGACAACCAAGGCAAGGTTGTGTTGGCTCTGGAGCATGCCGCATATGTCCACATACCACGTAATTGGCAGAGCCACGACGTGATTATGCAATGTTCGGTGGAGGCCAACCACTGAGCTGACAAGGGGAGAAACAAGTCGCTGGGGACTAAACCGGGTTCGACATCAAGAGGAGTGCTACTGGCGAGTTCCGAAACAGTCACCCTGCGTTATGAGTAGGGTAATCTGAAAGGCAACGGGCTGCGAAGAATCACCTTTAGAATTGTGTTAAAGCCGCTTACAAAGCATTAACTAGGACCCGCCACGACAGGTTGAATGCTAGTGCGAGTGATTCTAGATTGAAAGGGAAATCGTTGCTTCAGGGGCCGACATTGTATGTTCGTATCACAGTGGAAGAGGAGTTGTGTTGTATTTCCGCTATTGCAGCAGACATGGCGATCTGCTGCCGTCGCCCATGGTTCGCTAGCTTGTAAAAGTAAGATCATACGAACAGACTTAGCAGGGTCCGGCTATCGCTGAGTCCAAACGAGATGCAATAGACGTCTAACGCTTTCCTAAATGTCTGGTGGCTGCCTACTTGAGAATAGTTGCAACGAACCATCCCACAAACACAGAAAACCACCCGCTACGTTCTAATGGCAAGTAATGGCTTTATCAGTCAACGTGACACTTGGATTGGTGGCGGCTTGAAAAGGAAGTCGTTGATCTGGGGGCCAGCCCTGTCACCTGCACGTTCATAACATGTATGAAAGTAGAAGATGAGCCGCGCTATATCGCAGTTGAAAATCAATCTTGGCAGTCTGATGCTGTCACCCTGGACCCGTTGGCTTAAAACACTGGCTGGTAAAAGTAAGATCACGAGAACGGACCCAGTAAGATCCGGCGGACGTGCGCTATCATCAAGTCCCAACGGTACGAAACGGTTGTTCAATGCTTTATAATATGTGTGGGAACTGGTTACCAGGAATCCCCTTTAAAAAGTTGAGTGAAATTGGTCGATATCAACTACAAGACTGGGATCCACTTAACCCAACATGTGACAATCGCGGAACATGACATAGAATACTACGCAAGTAGCACCAGCAGTGTGCTTGCTATCTCATCCCATCTGTGCTGCTCGTGTGTGATGCTATACTGCCTGTGAGGTTACGCTTTCTATGGGGAGAGGTAGTGAAAGCCACAAGAGGCTAGCCTTATCAATATCACCTCGCTTCTCATATACTAGTTCGCCGCATCAGTGTAGGATGACAAATGGATGCAAGATTTTTCATTCGTGAATGATTGCACAACGAATGTAAGTCGAATATCAGGTCCTGCAGATTCACCCTTCTGCTCGAACATTCGCATTAAGCTCAACTGTCATAGTTTACAGCTGTATGGCATCGAGGCACACAGCGCAGACGTATTGCTGCTGTTGCTGAGGGTGAGGAACAGAGGAGAATGCATTGCCACCGAAGGAAAACACATGGCCTCTTAGGAACTTCGTCTAACGATGGGGAGGGGAGCATGCAAGCGTGGTGACCAGACGGACCTATAGACGGACCAGGTGAAAAAATAAGTGGATGCGAATCGGGGCAGAGTCGATGATTGGACGCACATGTTCGCCCGGTCGTCCACGTGGATCGCTGATTGGTCGACAGTTGGCTACGAAACAGTTTGTTTGACCGAGTCAAAGGAGGAATCTAATGGGTAGAGCAAAGGCCATTAGAGATGGTACCGGAATGGCCATGTGCATAAGTCAAAATGACCGACGGTCTATCTATGCTGTCATTGTTAGGCGAGTTTGCTTCCTAGAAAAATAGTATCTGTCCCCGAATGACCCGGTGGTGTTGAGATAAAATGGCTTCTAATAATAATGAGGAAAGCTTCAGCCCTAGCAAAAGACATGCAAAGGAGTGCTACTGATGATTGTAAGAAATGAGGAATAGGATGGGGATAAACAGTCACAAGCACTAACTGAGAAGTTGGGGACAAAACGTAGCATGATGAACGGTGCTCGAGGTCGATTGGATGAATTCAGGTGACACACATCGGGCCAGCTCATACATAACCTGTCAAGTGCACACATGAGGTTTCCAAATATGGCAGCGAGATGTGTGTACACCAGGATGTGGGAAAATGTTAGACAGCAGTTAGCACGCCAAAATGTGATTGTAGGTGGGCTGAATGTGCGCAATAAACGAATGTACAGTGCGGGTAAGAATTCATAGACCACCGCGCGCGTGTGTGTGTGTGTACGAATTATAGATCAGCCACAGGGATAAACATCAGATGGACAGAACGTGTTCTTATGACAACTTATGACAACCGTAGCGAGAATTAACATGCATGCGTGCGTGTAATCGTGGAACACCGCTTTTAAACTTACAGTTCAGATTGGTCGCCACCGGCATGGATGAAATACGGAGTGGGCCAAGAGCCACAGAGTCTGACTTGGGCCGAATCCCATCGTCCGGTGATGGCGCGATGTGGTGGTTGTTGGTGTTGGCAACCAGAGGAATCAAGGTGGACTGTTTCCGAATCGGGGTCAATCGATGACGTGAGGAGACAACGCCCATGGGTAGAACAGCAACAGCTCCGGGGATACGAGGATGCTGGTTTTGGTGATACAACGGTTGTTCTGCGTTGGGAAGGCAGACAAAGTATTTAGCAAGATAAAAGAAAACTGACTCCTATGGAAGTCCGCAGAATAAATCGTGCTTGATGAAAAAAGGCATCAGCTGTACGCCGTACCGACGTTTCGTTGTCACGCAATCACCATCATTCGCGAGTGTGTCGACTGGTTCCCTACTAAGAAATCAAACTGGTTTGCCATCAGATGAAATAACGAAGGTGTGAACTTTGACTCATGTATAGAATACTGAAGAAATTCCCACCATACTTTGCTGGCGCCGTTTGAATGTAGTCTACTGAGATACCAGGTTGTGTTTGACTGCATAGTGAATTCGAGGGTGGGGGGGGGGCAGAATGCGTGGAGCAACGTTACTTGCACCCTAGTGTGCGGAACGAGCGTCGGGAAGAGAGGAAGTAAGTAACGAACGGATCGTTTGACGGCGAGCTGACTGAGGTCGACTATTGAGCGTGGCGGTAACGCTTGATAGTCTGCATAGTAACTCATGCTGAGAAGGGCTATGAAATCCTGTACGGGATTCGACGTATGGATTTGGCGCCGCGCCTATACATTTTAATGAAAGTAGCAAAACGGCGAGTTTGTGTAAACGCGAAACAGCCGAAGCTTACCCGGTATTAGAGTACAGCGGCTACGCGATAACTCAAAAGCCAACATGCACACACTTTCCACCTTCATCTCCCTCGGATATACCAACGTAAAAAAGAAAATCGTGTTGTGGGGCATAGCAACCGTCTAGCGGTGAAGCAGTATAGCCAAAAATGGGAAAATGTCATGGAACCGTTGTTGTAAGAAGTAAAGCAGTCCAACGTGGGCAAACCCGATGGAGTGAACTCCGTGCTAGACGGATGAAAATATAATAGTTTATAACCTGGCATGAATGATGCGACGGAAACACAGCCACATACCACTCTGTGTAGTCCAATGAGACAGATGCCACGAAGCGTAACCCTAGTAGAATTTTTCACATGCAATTCAAACAAACGTGAGAAGCGGGGTGTGAAAACGCTATAGAAGTCCAACACGGTAACAAGAAATAGCTTGCGGTTGGAGGGTGCATGCCGAATTTCAGTCATTATGGAGAAATACCAGCAAGGGCATTGCTCCGCCCAGATGATGGAAATCACCGGTACGAATAAAAATACCGCACATAAACATCCATTCCTTTAAATAATACGATCTCCTTTCAAGGTGCCGCAAATAAAGGAAAAGGAAAACGGGTAGTCAAGGAAAAGAGGCAATTGATTAGGAAACTTAACTTATGAAAAACAGTCGATAACACTCCACTGCAAGGTAGTCCACACACGGTACCTCAGGTTTCCAGCTTTTATACAGATTGGAATGGGGAAAGCAATGTGCCCAAACCTACGATGTCACAGCGTTGAACAAACTGAATAATCATGAGCATGCTTGCTGCATATCTGAATTGCAGTAGCCCTTTAATGCAAGCGCCAGTTAACAATTTCAGAAACAGTTAATGGAATTTCACGTTTTGAGATCTGCCCGTTGTTGAGTGATGGGTTTGTAGAGTGACCACGGAGCTCAGTGGAATGGTGGTAACTCCGCTCGTCTGTAGTCTGCACCTCCAGAGCCCGAGTCCAAGTTCCGACTACGTCTGTTCGAAGATTTGAAATAAGTACGTGGAATGCATAATTGAGGGCGAACAACACCTAACAGATATGCATAACCCTATAGGTAGTAGCAGATCGCGTAATTGAGACACACGGTTTACTACACTGTAAATGGCTTCCACTGGTTAGGTGACACTAAGGTGGCTTTAGTGCCGTCGAGTCTGGTTGATGGTACCGCGAAGGATAATCTATGAAAAACTTTGAAGCCAGGTTGACGTGTGACGTGTTCGCCATTGCAAAGAACGAGTTCAGTTATACTAGCATAGGGGGAAGCACCTCTGACGGAGTGTAACTGAGAAGCCAGTGAGTTTGTTGCGTTCGTGCATTAGTTTTCAACTGCAATGTTTTAGGTTACCTCCCCCGGACTCTTATGTTCTGCGTTTTATTTTAGATGAAATGAGTGAGGTGAGAGTTGACAATCTGGCTTCCTACATCGCTGATGATAGACCAGCTTTGACCAAGGGGGTCGTGTGGCTTCTGCGGGGATCAGCCACGAAGAGCAATCTGCAGCAACCAGTACATCTATCGTCATCATTGACAACAGCATTACATCGATGTGCAGAACTGGTGCATTACTGCCAAACAACCGTGAGGAGTGTGGGGCACTTGATGTACAACTTAAACGACCTAGGTATGTATACCATAACAACAACAACAACAACAACAACAACAACAACAACAACAACAACAACAACAACAACAACAACAACAAAAACTACAATCAACCGGCTAGCCCGTGGGAAAAAGCGGCATCAATGAGACGGTAGCCCCATGTCGCCTAGATTGGCTCGTCATTCTGTAAAATTTGGAAAGGTAATCTATATGGGGATAAGAGAAAGGGAGCTATTGGCGCTGATTGTGAGCCACGTGCTGCAAGCTGAGTGCAGTGTGAGTTGAATGGACCCCAACTTCGAAGACCAGTCAGACTAAAACCCCTAGAGCTAGTGAAGAAAGACTTCATTTCGTGCTGTCAACTTAACGATTACCACACCTGAATTCGTGTGTCATCCTAGGCCCGGTAAGCAAAACATCAACCCGTTTGGTGTGCTGCAGGCGAGCAAGCGCAGCAGTATTGGAACCGAGGGAAGGTAGGTAACCGCGATCGTTGATCAAAACCTACTGACCAGAAATCTCTGTGCGGTACTCATATGTGCTCCTTTTCGATTCGGGAACGTTGGTGCTAGCCGACATACGTGATGTTCCGCGGGCATGACGGCATAACAACTGAAGGTGAATCCAGAAAAATGAACTACACACTAAATGGTGGTATTTTTCGCAATATCATGGAGAGTATTTAAAGTAAAAATTTGGAATCGATTTCGAACAATAGTCATCATAAACGCATTGAAGCAGACAGCTACTAGACTAGACGGGTGGTTCATCCATTCAGAACTCGTCTGTAGTGTGAATTCTGTCTAACCGGCGAGGTGCTAAAATCCGCGACTCTTCACCTTCGAGCTGGCATCTAGGAAGCGCCGGGATAAGCAGGGAAAGCAACAACCACAAACCGAAAGTAACTATGTGAGCAATGCGATATACCATAACTTGGTCGCAGTGGCTACCGCTTGCTCCCAGTAATCTCAAACACTGACTCGAAATGAACTGTCGAAGTCTCAAGGGGCAGATGGAATGCTTACTAGTTCTATGGTAAGCTTACACAATAAACAACACGTACCTAATAAGGTTCGCACATAGAAATGAGCCTTCAAGTTCACATTGCGTACACACTGATGCCCACGCATGGATGATCGATGACCAAAAGATGCGACGGTGGAACAACGTACCATGCACATTCCCGACAAGACTTTCAGATATCGATCAGCGAGGTGCGTAGGGAATGTGTGACAAAATCACACCCTTCAATAGGCCAAAGTAGAGTGGAGTTAATACCCAGTGCTATTAAGGACAAGGGGAAAAACCACTGGATCCACTCACCTCACCGACTCACTCTGTAGTACACTGAACGCTTTCCTGGACTATGCCAACGTAAGAGTGAGTTTTGCATTGGTGTTTCTCCTCTTCCTCCGCATATACTTTCTTACTCGGTTACTCAAGTTCAAGACTTGAATGTGCATCGAATCGGATTGTTCGTTTTCCCATCGTCCTAGTTCTAGTACACTTCTTAAAGTATTTATTACTCATAGATAGTCTGTCTCATGGCTTTGCTTATATTTTCGTTTACCGCAAATTCATATCCCTGACTGGGTTTTTCTCAACTCATCCTAATTAAGAGTTTCAATCTCCCATTTCCGTTATTCACGAGATCATGGTTATTATGACTTCTGACATACATCTTAGTGAATGTATCGGAAATATCAGCTGATCTGGTGGAAGATGACAAGGCTCATACATGAAGACCTGTCAGGAGGTGCATGTTGTATCCCTGCATGAACTCTGATCCATGGATGTTTTGCACGTGCAAACGCGCTGTTTATGTAAATACGATCCGTCCTTTGGTGAGTACGGTTTTTCGGCACCATTAGAAGTATACAATTTCTATGCTATTAGATTCTACAAGAAGAGATATACATCGGGAGGATAGAGTCGCCGACATAGAGGACACGAATAACTAGAGTGTGCTACTCGAAGGTCATGTCGCACGTCATAGTATCTGTACAGTGCCCGCAACTGGCAAGTCAGATGTAAAGCGACACGGACCATCCAAAGTAGCTTGAATTCGCCATCAGCAACAGACGCTTATATACGATAAACAGCAACAGTGCTTAAAGCACGTAGGACATCATCAACATCATCATACACGTTAGCTAGAGGTGGGGAAGACCTCAGCTACTGTGCCGCAATACATAGAAAAAAGGAGAAAAAAGCAACTGGTGCAAGCCAGCTGAGCTACCGGTAACGGATGGGCATCGTTCCGGTAAGCTACCAGCCGGCTGCTGTGCACCCAAAAAGAAAAAAAATATTATGCAACATTATATAAAGCTAAATAATGAGATAGTGGTTGGAGGGGGAGGCTAAGAGGGATGGGGTGGGACAAAGAAACTCACAGCACGAACGCCACTGAGGTCGGCTCCTAGCCATATCAGCAAGTGTGTCCAACCAAACGTGTTCACCGTCCTTTGGACCCCAACCAGGGAGCCGAGACGCTCCAACCGAGGCCAGTTCAGAAGTGAGGGCCTTCATTCCTCTGGACCAAGTCATCGCTTGGCCACCCCTCCTCTTTTTCCATCCACACCCCCGGCGCGCAAACAATACACGCCGCGGGAGTCGGTGGGCTGCCATGCGTAACACGTGGTCGAAGCACGTAGGACGAAACAGTCTCAGCTTGGAAGCGGGCGTATTTGAGACGACAGGGTAGATCAACGTGTGCTAAAAGGAAGCGCCTTGACTCTCATGAAGATGAG